AGCGAGGGATGAGTGCAAACCCTCTTAAAACGTTGCAACTACTGGCAATACTCCCCTTATGGGTAAGGCTTATGTCCAGCAGTGGACAGTTAACGGCTGAAATAATAATAATAATAATAAGTACTTACTGTGATACTACGAAAACTGTTAATTGTTAAGGAATTATTTTATCTATGACTATTTTAACTAACCTACTACTACTACTTCCGTGACGTCACAGACGTCTGTGCTTACGTATAGATGCTCACTGTTATAATCAAGTAAAAATATTATCGAAAGCTTTTTTGTATATTCCTGAAGAATATATATTGTGAATATAGGAATACTGTTGAAATTTTTGCAAAAATAAAGTGAACAAAGTTTTATAACTTTGCGTCAGTCCAAAAGTACTTTTTTTTTCGAGTTGTGTAAATTGGAACAATAATATGAATAATATCATATAAATATGTATAGAGTAGAAAAAATAGGATTAGATAAATATTAAAAAGTGTATTAGGGTGTGCGGGAAATTTTTATATCAGCGAAAAATCCATGGATTAGGCCTGTGTAAATACCCTATATAAACTGAAATGGATCATAATAGACAAGTAGACGTGACATATTTTGACTTCAAAAAAGCATTTGATCGCGTTCACAATGATATTTTTTAAAAAAGTTCTCATGGAAGGATTTACACCTAAACTTTTAAAATTATTTATTAGTTATTTTCCGATCGCTCGCAATACGTCCAATTACATGGTTATCGATCTGAATCCTATGTTACCGGCCTGTGTGAATATACCCTGGGTCCATTGCAGTTCCTAATTATGATATGATGCCAGATGTTGTTAACACTGCTCAGTGTCTCATGTTTGCTGACGATGTGAAGCTATTCATGGCTATCGGAACCATGGAAGACTGTGTAACTCTACAGCGAGATATTGACAACGTTGTGGCATGGGCTGGACATAATAACTTGGAATTTAATATTTCAAAGTGTAAAACATTCACGCGGTCTCGTGTTCCCCATTCTTATGTCTACAATATATCTGGTACGCCGCTTGAACGTGTGTCACAAATACGCGATTTAGGCCTTACGCTGGACACTGCTTTAACTTTTAATAATCATATAACCATCGTTTGTAGTCGTGCATATAAATCGTCAGGTTTTGTGATAAGACAGTCGGCACAACTTCAAGATAAAGGTGCAATATTATTATTATATTATTCATTTGTACGAAGCATTTTAGAATTCAATTCAATTATTTGGAACCCTCATGAAACAAAATACAAGATAATGATAGAAAGAGTTCAGAGGAAATTTGCACGTGTTCTATATAGTAAACTTTACGGCTACTATCCTTATTTGTACCCATCACTGTTCGTATCCGGTATGGTAGGTCTAGACACGCTCGAGGTAAGGCGAAAGTGCAATTTGATGATGCACTATTATCAGTTGCTCAACGGCGGAATAGACAATCCTGCAACTCTTAGCCGTTGTTCTTTGTACGCACCCCAACGCTGCATGCGATTGCGTGCTTGTAGACTACTATCGGCACCGCCGGTTCGTACCTGTACTGCTCAGTTTGCTCCCACGTATCAGGCTATTTCTCTGCTCAATCTCTGATTGCTCAGCAGCCAGATATTGACATATTTAATTACAAAAGAAGTATATTTTTAAAATGTTGTACAAAATTTGTAAGTTTGTGAAATAAAACTTTGGCTCACTACACGTTTTGGGAAACTGTAAGTGTAGTGAGAAATTTTCAAATAAATAAATAAATAAATAAATAAATAAATACCCCAAGATGTATATAGGTGCACCCTTCCTGACGTTGTACAAAATGTAACTCCAAAATACCAAGAAATAATAAAGGGAGTATTGAGTATTGCGATATGAGAATCTCAAACTGAAGCCGAGAACTCCACAGTAATGGAAATTACTGCAGATTTCCTCAAATGAGATATCGCACATGAGCTTCACCAGTTAACTAATGAGGTAAAAAGTCGAGTTTAAAGCATAAAAATGTAAACTAATAAAACTTAGGAGTACTGTAAATATCGTTATTGTCACTTGGATAAGCTGAAGGGTAGGATGAAGGATATAGAGCGACGAGTGAATGAGAGATGTATCAATGCTATTACAGATACAACTAGAACTCTGGAGTTAATAGTACAGAAGTTAAAACCTCAAATTAATGTTCGTGATAAGGACCTACTCGCAAATGATGTGAAGATCGCGGGCATACCGTCGCGTCGTCGTCGTCGGATAAAGCGTGGTGCTGTACAGTTTGTGGTAATATAATTTGTTAAGAAGTTTGGATTTTTCATTACTCAATGAAAAATTAAATGTTAGATCGAATTTATATGAAACTTCGTACGCAAATAGACCATACTATATATTTCTATCATGTGTGTTATATACATATTTTATGTATGTATATTAACACTCAGAATAGGTAACCCTTGCAGAAAAATTTCGTCTACACTTAAATACAAGTTTTTTTTTTTTATTTGTAACATTATAGTTTATATTAAGCTAATGTTTTCCAAACATTTTTTTAATAATAATCCCAAGGATAATAGCAAATATGTATACAGTATTAAAATTTATTATTTTAAATGTGAAATAAGACATCTTTTTTCGTCATTTTCTTTTATGTGACATTGACCTTTTGCTCAAAGCAAATTAGGGTTTTGGAGGTAAGATTTTCTATTCAGTTATTAATGTACAAATGCCTTCGGAGAGATGATTCCTTTCATATCTACACCCTATATAAATAAATCCCAGTTGGCCCTTTCGCGTAAGCTTACCTTACGAAGGACGTTAGACGATAAACATAAAAGAATTTCAATAATGCTTTGGAGAAATTTATATATTATATATCCATATTTGACTTTCAAAGGGGGTGAGTGGACATCAAATAGATTAAATATATCACAGCATATTTTTTATCTATTGGGATTTACTTAGTACCTTTTTTATCTGTATACTGTGTACTTATACTACAGATAAAAAAGTACCCTCAAAAAATATGTCATGTAACGTAAAAAGAAAATGTCACAGGCACTTTTAATATTAATAAAGTTTGTTTGAACGTTTGGGGTAAGTAATTTTCTGTACTACGGATCCGATTTAAAAATTCTTTCATTGTTAGTAAGATACTATTATTAAGTGTCATGGACTACTTTTTTTTTTGTAAATATATAATGTTTCAATAATCAATCATAATAAATGTAATTGAAATAGGCAAAAATTCTAAAATATGGCGCGGGCTATTTAAGCGGTTTGAAAAAAAGAAATAAAATCTATAGCAAAAACATTAATTACTTTTAGATTTACAAAAATCACTAATCACTATATATCTAAGTTTAATATTTTAGCCAAATAAATAGTTTTTATGTTAAAAGTGAAACAAGCCGTTCATTTTATAATGCTTTCATTTTTCATACACCCCAAAATATCAACCTTATCACAGATAACATAATACTATACTAAAACGTGTTGAACACTTTAAAAGTTATAAAAACAAATATTACATCCGTGCAAAATCGAGGCGGGTCGCTAGTCCTTAATATATGTCATGTAATTATTCTAAAGGGAAGATGAATTCATTCGACGATTCATTTCAATCAATTCTACTCTTAACTAATCCTAAAGCAATTTGGATAATTATTTTACAATATGTATATTTATTCATGATTTAAGCTGTTTATTTACAATGTAAAATCTAATGTAAAACCACGTGGTATGAAAGTATATTTTTTTTATTTTATACTCATGCTGTTCTTTTGCTTTACTTACTTTATATTAGTAATTGCCAATTTCAGTTGGGCGATTATCAAACAATTTCTCCTTTTAGATATTAGAAAAATAGAGAGCGTTATGGTCTAGTGTCTTGTTACTGGAACGACTCTTAGGCCTCAATGGTCGTAAGCTCTAATCATGGACATTATTTTGTTCAAGAAGTTTCGTCATACCAAATTTTAGGATTCAAACATTCTATAATTTGCTATCATCGTCATCATTTTAAAGAATGGTTTGAAGGATGGGATATGGCGTGAATTTACTGGGTACAGAAGAATAACACCTGAGTCCTCAGGAATGGCAACGCATGGGGGGTATCATGGGCGAAACAGTATACTCTGTTATGTCCATGGTACTGCTCATGTCTATAGGCGACGGTTACCACTTTACATCAGGTGGGTCGTCAGCTTGTTTGCCATTCTAAGTTATATAAAAAAAAAAAAAAAAAAAAAAGAGCGGTCCTGAACCACCTGCATACATAGACTCTTTGTCTTAATTTCCTATGCTATTAATTCATTAAATATAGCATTTATGCAAAAACTTTACTAATTTTATTTTTTGACTAGCTCACCAGTAATAGTCATGTTTTTAGGTGATCATATAAACTATTAACAATCTAGTCTATAGAACAGCCTTAGACTATGGCAAAGACTGGCACAACCAGTTATTTTGATTAAAAAATTACTTTTTAAATGCCACATTTGTGTTGTGCCACATTTAAAGTCAATGTTTTGGAACACAATCTTAATTGCGACTATGATACGCGATTACTTCGCTTCTTTTAAACTACTTTTTGAAATTCTTTTTAGTTGTTAGGGTTTGTTTTTGCGTTAATCTTATATTAAGCTTTCGAATCGTTATTTAAAGCGTAAACTATCGAGGATTATTCTGATATTTGAAAACATCTAATCAAACTTCTGCGTAACTCGTCGGTTGATATACCTGAATTTTTCCTTTCGATTGAAAGTGCTTTTTATTTTTGCAGAGCAAAAAATGCATGTTGCGAAGCAAAATGTACATATAATGACGATTTCGCTTTGATTTTTAAGATACTGGTGTCTAGAAAACATCTCGGAATTTATTGATGCGCATGAGTGCATGTGTGTGTGTTCACGAAATCTTTTTTTTTTTTTGACGGAGCTATGCGTACTTGTATGTACTAAGTTTTTCGTGGAGGCTGCGTAAAGTTCGACTTGGTAGCGTACTACGAAGGCGGGCGGCAGAGGGCAGACCGCCGCGCGCCGCCGCCCTGTGTACACTCCGCGACTTCGCAACATGTGAACCAAATATGCGATTGCCGAAACTTTATAAAAACAGTAAAACATTCACATAAGAACTGTGAATTTACATAGCAATATCACCAATATTCACGTTAGATTACTTAATTATACTTAATAAAAGTTTCCAAATAGTTATTTAGATATCAACTAGTTTTTCGACGTGTATATTAAATGTCGAAGTAGTTTCCTGTGCTTATCGTCGACATGCTAAAGGTAAGTATGTTTTTTATTAACAATATATTAAATTGATTTTTAATAATGTCAAGTAGATATGCAAAGAAAATATAAACTTTATTAAAGTATAAAACACAAACTAAAAAGCACTAAACAAAAGTCAAGAATTATATCAGAAAGCAAACTCAGAAACATTTTAATTTTTTTTATAATAAATATAATAATATTTTATTATTTATTATTATTTTTATTATTATACTTCCAAAAATTTTTGAGTGTCCTCATATATTCCTCCACATAACTTTCCCGCCATTATTCTAAATGGGAAGCGCTCTATATTGATACACCTACATATGTGCGTATGTAGGTATTTGAAAAAACAAAATATAATTTAAATTTTGGTTATTAATTATTTTTTTATTTATAGTAATAGGAAAATTAAAATCAAAAGATATTTATATTCCGCTTTTCTTATAGGTAACGTTTTTATTTGACTTTTACATATGTGCCTATTGGAAATATAAGAACTGTAACATTTTCCTTATTGAGAAAAAAATATCACATGGAACATAAAAGCAATAATGGTGTCAGATGTTCTATAAATAAGTACCTAATTTCCATATAAATTAATTCTTACCAAAAATATAGCTAACGATATACGTTAGTGATGAATAGAAAAATATAAATTATTTCTTATATAGGTATAATATATTCTATTGTCTAATATTGCACTGCATTTCCACCAAACGTAGATACCTATGAATGTATATGGTGATATATGTATAAAACATAATTTTAATTTAAGTATATAACAAAAAGCGGTTCTATTAAAGTACTTATTAACATAGTTTTGCATGCAAACAGGAGTATTGATTTTATCATTATTTTGTTATAAATAATGATCATCATTCAAATATATCTGTTGCTGTCAAAAACAGCAACCAAAGTGAACCATTCATTATGCATTGAATATAGGCCTATCCATTTATGATCAGAAAACTTGAAAGACGCGCTTCACTTTCCCCAGGGACTGCATGGGCTTCAGCACGCATTACGTGTATGCCGAACCCTCTATATAGATACGGGAATATGCAATGGAATTATCTTATTACTTCCTACTTGTACTTAATGTAAAAGTTTATTATAGACATCAACATTCTGATGTAATGTTTTTTCATTATTGAATCATTATTAAAAGGTTGTATTGATTTGAATTAAATTTGATACACGGATGGATTATATACAGAATTCATTAAAAATTCTAATAAGGTGAAGTGCAAGTAGCCTAGAATGGTGCGATGAGCGTTATACCACAATAAACTAGTTGTATTCAATGGCTTTGCCCACATGAATTAGAAAAGTATTTTATGTGGATATGATCTATCTAATTTTATTCAAATTAGTACTAAATGCAAATTTAAGAGAAACAAACATCTTAACAAATTGTCGCATTAATTTATAAGCAAAAGAATAAGACGCAGGATGTTGCCGTTTCGTTCTACCTCAAGCATGCGGTAGCGATAATTTAGCAATCACCTATAGATGGAGACCTACAATATTATGATAAATTAGATCTGTCATGTCATTATCATTATACGATAAATCGTATATTAGCAGGCAAGGGTATCGAGACTCTTGGAAACCAGCGTGTATGTATAAGACGATTCATAAAAGTGGATAAAGCAAGATATGTGTAAAGACAGAGCTCTCTTTGATAGTTCTCAGTCGGTATCAGTCAATATTCCCGGTAAAAAGAATAGCCTAGATAAATTTTAATATATCTTAGCCCTTAAAAGTGGTGATACTGAGGCATTAGAGGATGCGGAATAGTAGGTACTATTACTATATTGTAAATAATATAATACAAGTGATTAATATAAATGCTGTGAGGGAATGGATTGTTGATAATGAGGCCATACCCAGTCAGGACGACCTTCACACAGCCCCTCCTGGATCACTAGAAATGATTCCTAGTGAATTCACCACAATTAGTCAAATGACTGGCTTCATCTTCATCTATCATCAGTTATTGGTGCCCTGCCAGCGTATACCAATAGCGCAGGCGGGGTGAGGTTACTATCCCACTTCAACCTCATTAAATATCAGCAGTGTTAGTCATATATCTATGAGCGACGGTTCGTATTTTAAGGTGGACCATCAGCTTGTTTATCATTTCCAACAAATAATTAGACGATGCGACCATCGCGCAAAAACCCGACAGTTAAATTTTGCAACACTTTCCAATTCTATATCCAATAGCTCTTACACTTTATTTTTTATCATATAAGTCCATAACACGTTAACAAATTTTTTATTAAGATCTATTTTGGCTAATAATCAATACGCTCAGCTGAGCATCCTATTAAGTATTTCCTTCCTTTGCCAATCATGCAAAAAATAACGCACGACTTTTTTTATATGAGACCGTTGAAATAAATATTGCATTCTAAAAAAATATTAAAAGTGAAGGCTTTGATAAATTAGAGGCACTTTCTAAATTAAGGTCTACGCCCTCTCGACGTGAAAGGCAATAACCTAGCGGGATTATAATTATAAGGGTGATATGATTTGTAAATATTAGTTATTTATAGCCTGCGCAGGCAAAAGACATGCCCACAAATAAAATGTCTCATTGTGTTTGCCTCGTCTTCTCAGGTTTTGAATGTCCCATGATAGAGAATCCTCCTCATAATTTTTCATTCGGTTATAATAAAAAACCCTAAAATTACACAAAGGAAAATTGTTCATCGATTGTGCAGGCCTTTAAAATGTATTTACCCTTTACATGGCAAGAACTTTCTTCCGCTGTTTCACTTCTATCATATCATATCAATGGCGCTACTCCTTACCTTTCAATAAATTCTCCATCTCAGCTCCTGCCCTTAGATTTTCTCTGCATTGGCATTTTTTAAGTGAAGAGCTCTATCATAGGATCTAGCTCATCTTGCGAGAGACGAATGGATACTGCCAGATTCCTATCGACTAAAACAACATAGTATTCTACTGTATTTCTCGTCGTAATTGCAAGCTCACTTTCTTATGCAATTGATTCCAGCAGAAAAGCCTCCAGCCGTTTCTGCTGGGGTCACAATTGAGCCTTTCTCCTCGTAGCAGGAACACTTATTAGTTCTCTTTTTTCATGCTCCACAGGGGCACACTAGTACTCTGTACTATATACACTCAAGGAGCATCCTACTTCTTGAATTCCAATGATAAGCACCAGATCCCCTTACCTTCGCAATGAAGAAGTTACATCACAATCCCAAGAATTTTGGCATTTGATCTCTGTCAATAAAGAGACAATATAAAAGCAAACAACCACTGCAACGTATTAAACCCGACACGCCAAATCTCCCGTGTCTACCTATATCCCTAAAAATCCTGCAGCACTTAAGGCTCGTAACACATAGTGCCGTGCAACCGTCTGCAATAACTTTGTGACTTTTTTAAAAAATTAAAAATTATGTTTAAGAAACAAAAAAATCTTTCGACTACGGAGTTATTAAGCGTGGCAACTACTGGCAACCTCACTCTCTCCATTATGAGGGAGACCTATGTTCAACAATGGACAATTAACGGCTGATGTATTATTAATAATAAAATAAAAATCGAAGTTTTTGCACATAGCATCATAGCATCTTATGTCTAACTTATATCTATGAAGACATGTTATTTATTGCTCCTAGAAGCGCATCAGCCGCAACTATTGACTCGTGCTCTTCCTCACTACTCTCAGTAGGATGTGAGCGAAGCTTCGTAAAGACGTTTTTAAAAGTACATACGACTAAATGTCTTTTTGAGGGTCCAGGCTCTTCCTAGAAAATAAACTCAAGTACGCCAATGAACAACACAAATGCACAAAATTTTATAAATTATAAACCGTATTTCAATCTTTTGGTCTTTTAATAGCTTAAAAGAGCATAATTTTATGTTAATTGCTGGCTAATTTTATCAAGATTGTTATAAAAAATGTAACAAACTTTTAAGTATTAAATAATATATATGATAGGATTTTATACCAAATTAAATTTGCACAGTATTGTTACCGGAACTTAAGCAAATTGAGAGTGGAACTCGTAATTTATTTCGAAATGCTGAGAAAACAACTGTAATTCGTCTACATTATTAATTTCGTCTCAGCTAACGAGTTGTAAGGATTAGTGAAACAAACAACGAGCTACGACATTTTATTAAATTACAATACCGTAGGTATAGTCAGCACAAAAATAGATTTACGCATCGAAATACCAAACAATCGTTCAATCAAATTTCCACAAAGACTGTACACTGTTAGTTTTTTTTTATTATTATACATATGAAGGTACAGCTTTGCCGTTGTCCCATTTATTTGGGGCCATCGTATATGTCCTCCTTTTCCACTGATATATATCAACTGTCATACTAGGGTTTAATTCTCTTTTGTGCATATTATCCTTCTTAAAATCCATCCACCTTTTATTTCACCATCCCTTATCCTTTAGTACTACAATATTTATTTGATTTCGTTGCTGTCTGTAGACACTTGTAGGGATAACAAATAAACATCGATAATGAACTGACTACAAAACACTTTGCTAAATTAATTTTCTTAGTTTATTTTGATCTTTAAAATGGAGTTAGATGATTGATTTGTTTTATCTCGTTTTAATATAAATACTGTTCTATTGAAAACTAGTTGTGAATAACGACTTTGCCCGTATAAGGTAAAAAATATATATAATAAATAGTATATACATATGTTAATCTAGTTGAGTCCCATTCGTTTGCTGGTTAAGCGCAACTGCTTAATGAAGTTTTACATTTAATTGAAAACAATTTATTAAAATATACGTGATAAACGTATTTCTATATTGTCTAAGTGATGATTTTATTTTTATTTTTATGATTATTAGAAACGAACCTTCTTTTTGTTTTAACTTATAGATTTTTATACATAAAACTAAATGTAAAATAAATAAAGTATTTAATTAAAAAAAATATTTTGTACCTTTTATAAACAATGACGGTGATGATAAATCGCTCAACACAGTCATAGATAC